CCTTCCAAGTAGCTGGAACTACAGGCGCGCACTACCACACCCGGCTAATTTTTTTGATTTATTGTAGAGATGAGGTCTCTCCTGCCCAGGCTGGTCTCAAACCCGCGGGCTCAGGCAATCTACTCACCTCAGCCTCCCCAAGACGCGGGATGACAGACTGAGCCACCGAGCCTGGCTCAGATTCTTGATAAATGGGCAGCTCAGTGTTTTCCAGATGATTATGTGGTCATCGTTAGTATTTTTGGAAGTTGAGCACCTTGTTGATGGTCTACATTTAGTAACATTGTAATTCAAAGAATCTTTGGGCTGGGCGCGGTGGCTCACGCCTGTCATCCCAGGACTTGGGGAGGCCGAGGCAAGAGGGTTGCCTGTGCCTAGGGTTTGAGACCAGCCTGGGCAACGTGGTGAGACCCTGTCTCTATAATAAAGAAGAAAAATTAGCCGGGCTCAGTGGCTCAGCTTGTAATCCCGCACCTTTGGGAGGCTGAGGTGAGTGAATTGCCTGTTCCTGCAGGTTCGAGACCCACCTGGGCAACTTGGTGAGACCTCATCTCTACAATAAATCATAAAAAATAAGCTGGGCGTGGTAGCGCACGCCTGTAGTTCCAGCTACTCGGAAGGCTGAGGCGGAAAGATCGCCAGAGCCCAGCAGGTCGAGGCTGCGGTGGCCGGGAGTGGCCACTGCATTCCAGTCTGGGCGACAGAGTGAGACTCCAACTCAGAAAAATAAATAAATAAATAAGAAAAATTAACTAGGCGTGATGGCCCATGCCTGCAGCCTCAGCTACATGGAAAGCTGAGGTGGAAGGTTCCCCTGAGCCTGGCAGGGCAAGGCTCTGGTAACTGTGAGTGCACCACTGCACTCCTGCCTAGGTGACAGAGTGATATCCCGACTCAAAAAATATATATTTTATCTTCATCAAATATAAAAGCAAATTGTTTCTTAACTAAGTTTAACCTGCTTAGATGTCCAAGCAAAACATTTCCTGAAAATTTTATAAGGTCAGCCTTTAGAAATCTTAGCAAATGACTTTGTCCTTGTAGAAATTAAGCAGCCAGGCTCGGTGGCTCAGCCTGTAATCCCGCGCCTTTGGGAGGCTGAGGTG